CTGTTGAATGGATGAAAGAATCTTCTACTATAGATTAGATTCTATGTAAGCCAACAAGTCCCTAAAACGATGGATGGATCAGAAGACTCAAGAAAGGTTCTGAATGTTTTGATATATGGCAACTATGATGGTTAATTTAATTTATTTTTTCACTCTATAAGATTTTTATTAATTCAAAACATTTTTAAAATTTATTTATTTTTTAATTTGAATACAAGTTACTTAGCATATAGTGCAACAGTGATTTCAGGAGTAGATTCCTTAGTGCCCCTTACCTGTTTAGCCTATCCCCCCTCCCACAACCCCTTCAGCAACCCTCTGTTTGTTCTCCATATTTAAGAGTCTCTTTGTTTTGGCCCCCTCCCTGTTTTTATATTATTTTTGCTCCCCTTCCCTTATTTTCATCTGTTTTGTACCTTAAATTCCTCATGAGGGAAGTCATATGGTATTTGTCTTTCTCTGACTAATTTCACTTAGCATAATACCCTCTAGTTCCATCCACATTGTTGCAAATGGCAAGAATTCATTCTTTTTGATTGCTGAGCAATACTCCATTATATATACATAACCATATCTTCATTATCAATTCATCCATTGATGGACACTTGGGCTCTTTCCATACTTTGGAAAGTACTATTGTTGATAGTGCTGCTATAAACATTGGGGTGCATGTGTCCCTTCGAAACAGCACACTTGTATCCCTTGGATAAATACCTAGTAGTGCAATTGCTGGGTTGTAGGGTAGTTCTATTTTTAATTTTTTGATGAACTTCCATACTGTTTTCCAGAGTGGCTGCACCAGTTTGCATTCCCGCCAGCAGTGCAAAAGAGATCCTCTTTCTCCTCATCCTCGCCAACATCTGTTGTTGCCTGAGTTGTTAATGTTACCCATCCTGACAGGTGTGAAGTGGTATCTCATTGTGGTTGTTATTTGTATTTCCCTGATGATGAGTGATGTTGAGCATTTTTTTCATGTGTTGGTTGGCCATGTGGATGTCTTATTTGGAGAAGTGTCTATTCATGTCTCTTGCTCATTTCTTCACTGGATTATTTGTTTTTTGGGTGTTGAGTCTGATAAGTTCTTTATAGATTTTGGATCTAACCCTTTATGTGATATGTCATTTGCAAATATCTTCTCCCATTCTGTCGGTTGCCTTTTAGTTTTGCTGATCTGTTTCCTTCACTGTGAAGAAGGTTTTTATTTTGATGAGGTCCCAGTAGTTCATTTTTGCTTTTGTTTACCTTCCCTCCAGAGACATGTTGAGTAAGAAGTTGCTGCAGCCGAGGTCAAAGAGGTTTTTGCCTGCTTTTTCCTCTAGGATTTTGATGGCTTCCTGTCTTATGTTTAGGTCTTTCATCCATTTTTTTTTTTGTGTATGGTGCAAGAAAGTGGTCCAGGTTCATTTTACCGCATGTCACTGTCCAGTTTTCCCAGCACCATTTGCTGAAGAGATTGTCTTTATTTCATTAGATATTCTTTCCTGCTTTGTCAAAGATTAGTTGGCCATATGTTTGTGGGTCCATTTCTGGGTTGTCTATTCTGTTCCATTGACCTGAGTGTCTGTTCTTGTGCCAGTACCATACTGTCTTGATGATTACAGCTTTGTAATACATCTTGAAGTCCAGGATTGTGATGCTTCCAGCTTTGGTTTTCTTTTTCAAAATCGCTTTGGCTATTTGGGGTCTTTTCTGGTTCCATACAAATTTTAGGATTGTTTGTTCTAGTTCTGTGAAGAATGCTGGTTTTATTTTGATAGGGATTGCTGTGATAGTTAATTTTACGTGTTAACTTGACTGGGCCACAGGGTACCCAGCTACTTGGTTAAACATTATTCTGGTGTTTCTGCAAGGCTGTTTTTAGGTGACATTAACATTTTAATTGATACAGTAGATTGTCCTCTATGATGTGTGTAGACCTCATCTAACTAGTTGAAGACCTGATTTGAACAAAAACTGATCTTCCTCTGCTTGCCAGACCCTGAACTTCATTTGTACCATTAATTCTCCTGGGTCTCAAGCCTACTGGCACATACTGCAGATTTGTAATTACCAGTCTGCATAATAACATGAGCCAATATTTTACAATGGATTCGTTTCTATAAATGTATATATACATCCTATTGTTTTTATTTCTCTAAAGAAACAAAACAGCTGGCTAATACAGCACCTGGGTGATTTTAGGCAGGTCACCTAGTCTCTCTGAGGCTCTCTTTCCTCTTCTTTAAATATTGATATTTGCCCTTCAGAATTAGGATTATATATGATTGCACATTTGAATCAGATACCTGTGGTTAAAATGTGATTCTAAGTGGTTAAAAATAGTAACTCATGTAACCTTCATAACAATCCAATGAGATAACTTATACCCATTTTATATATAAGGAAACTGAGGCACAAAGGAGTTCAGTAACTTGCCCAAGTTTACATGGTTAGCAATATTACACGTTCACTGACAGTCATGAACTCTTTCTCAACCACACCAAAAAGCTCCATTTCCTGGTCTACCCTGTGGTTAGGTAGAGGGTAGTCTGATTGATTTCTAGTTGATGAAGTGTGGACAGAGATGATGGATATTATTTCTTGGCCTGCCTATAAAATACAGCCGCAAACCATCACCTTCCCTTTTTCTCTTCCCTTGATCACATTGAGGTCATTTGTTGAAGGTAGCAGAGCTATGAGATTAAAGAAACATGAGTCTCTGAGTCATCCCTTTGGGAAGAACTCCAGCAGAGCTGCCCCATGAGAAAAATCTACATTGTGCTTTGCATGATGAGCAATAATTCCTCACTGAATCAAGCCTCTGAGATTTTAGAGTTTATTTATTAGCCCATCATAGCCTAACCTAGACTGTCTAATAGTGTGTTAGAGTTGGGGTTTAAACTAAGGCATTCTGGATGTAGAGATTATTCCCTAAATTGGTGTGGTGCTGTGCTTTTCAGCTCCAGGCACATGGAAGACACTTAAAAATACTCATTCTGATTATTATCTTGCCTTTTGAGAAGTCTTCATAATGTAAATAAAGTAAAAGCACTTGGGTTTTTTTTATTAAAATATAATTAACATATAGTGTTGTATTAGTATTAGTTATATTAAAATATAATTAACATATAGTGTCGTATAGGTATACAATACGATTCAGCAAATCTATACATTACTCAGTGCTCATCAAGATAAGTGTACTCTTTATTAATTTTTTTAATGTTTTATTTATTTTGGGGGGGGAGAGAGAGAGACATAGTCCAAGTGGGGGAGGGGCAGAGAGAGAGGGTGACAGAATCCAAAGCAGGTCCCAGGCTCTGAGCTGTCAGCATAGAGTCCAATGTGGGCTCAAACCCATGAACCATGAGATCATGACTTGAGCTGAATCCAGTCACTTAATCCACTGAGCCCCCCAGGGTGACCCAGGATAAGTGTTCTCTTGAATTCCCTTCACCTACTTCACCCATCCTCCCACCTACCTCCCCTCTAGTATCCACTAATTCTCTAAGTTTTTGTTTTACATTTTTTTCCTTTGTTCATTTGTTTCTTAAATCCCATATATGAGTAAAATCATATGGTATGTATCTTTCTGACTTATTTCACTTAGCATTATACCCACAAGGTTCATTCCTGTTGTTGTGAATGGCAAGATTTCATTCTTTTCTGTGGCTGAGTAATACTCCATTGTATATATCATATAGTATCATATGTGATACTATATCATATATCATATGTATATATCATGTACATATATGTATATATCATGTACATATATCATATGTATATATCATATACACTATATAGTGTATATATATCATATATATCATATGATATATCATATCATATATATAATATATATCATATACATATATATGATATGTATATATATCATATAGTATGTGTATATATCTATATATATATAGTGTGTATATATATATATATATTGTGTGTGTGTGTGTATCACACCAACTTTATTCATGTATGGCTGCACACTTGGGTTGCTTCCATATCTTGGCTATTATAAATAATGCTGCAATAAACATAGGGGTACATATATCTTTTAAAATTAGTGTTTTCATTCTCTTTGGGTAAATACCCAATAGTGGAATTACTAGATTATCTAGTAATTCTATTTTTAATGTTTGAGGAACCCCCATACTGTTTTCCATAGTGACTGCACCAATAATTCCCACTAATAGTGTACAAGGGTTCCCTTTTTTCCCTACATCCTCACCAACACTTGTCTTTTTGACAAAAGTCTTTGTCTTTTGTCCTGTCTTTTTGATACTAATCTTTCTGACAGGTATAAGGTGATATCTCATTTTGGTTTTGATTTGAATTTCTCTGAGTGATGTTGAGCATCTTTGTTTTAATTAAAGCTAAATGGGTTTTGTTATAGTTGGATTTAATATGCTAATGTGCATTATGAATTTTGTAGAGATAGGAGAGTATGAAGTATTCCTAAAATGACTTGTCCCATAGAACTCTTTCTGTGAACAACATTTAGGAAATGTATTTTGGTAACAGCATGTGTAGTAAGCACTTTGGAGCTATACTTTCTCGGTTCAGATCCCAATTCCTCCACTAATAGTGCTATGGTCTTGGACCACTTCACCTTTATGAACTTCAGTTTCTTCCTAGGAAAAATGGAGATGATACTAAGTACCTAACAGGGTTATTATGAAATTTTCTTGGTCTGATGTTTTTAAAAGTTTTAGAATACTGACTGGCCTATAGTAAATGCTCTTTCTCTCTGTGTGTGTATGTGTATGTGTGTGTTTAGTAAATTAATGAATACATCCTTTTCTAGCCTTGTTTACTAGTTTCCTATATTGTAAACCCCCTGAAATTTAGGAATGCTTTTTACAATATTTAGAGATGTACAATGTTAATACCTAGGAATAAGTATTAAGCATATACCTTGTGCTTAATAAATATTGGAGAAATGAATGGAAAAATGGATCTCATCCCATGAAAAGAGATCAGTAATCTGTAACTAAGTTTTTGTTATCTTTATGCAGATCCAAGTTAAAGAATACCCACCTTTTGACATTGTTATCAATAGATACCTGGATGAGAAGAATTCAACAAACAACTTTGGCCAAGATTCTGGTGCTTGGGGTGCACAGGTAAGATAAACAACAATCTGTTTTTCTTCTTCAGGGTGTTACATACCATGTCAGAACTTGAGAAAATAGATTTTAATTAGTTAAACAGCAGAATTAGGTTAAGGATCATTAGCTAATTTTCTTCAATCATTTTCTTAAGGCTGTAATTAATGTTAGTTATTTATCCCAAAACAATATTTTACCTTGTATGCACCAGCAAGTGCTAATCACAGGTTCACCTTGGTGCATATTGGCCTATGTTTCCAGAATCTTCAACCAAAATTTCTAATTGTTGGAAATAGAGACTTGAGCTAACAAAATGCAGTTGATAGACAGAAGGTAACAAATGGAATAAAGAAGACTAAGGAACAACAGCCAAAAATTAGAAGGCTGAATTAATAAAATTTATACTCCACGGAGAGAGGAGCCAAATACTCTCCTTTGTGGGCAGAGGCAAAAAGAGAAGACAGTAGCACCAGGTGGGTTTGGAGGACCCAAGAGTGGTCTTTCCCACAAGTAAGGTATGTGGAAGTGAGATTTGGAGGGGTTTCTCACTGGTGATAAGATATATCCACATAATGACATATGATAGTAAAACTAAAAGATAATCAATTCATAACCATTTGCTGGACTTCTCTCTTTTCAGGAAGGCGAGTTGAAAAGAAGAGAGGTTTGTTGTAACACAGTGTTTACAAACTGGGGTTCTCAGACCCCAGAGATCTTAGGATGTATTCTGGGGTGTCTGAGAGTTCTATGAAAGAATTTTCAGATATTATATTTTCACTATGATGACAAAGTGACCACCCTTTCAACTCAACTAATGGATATTTTGGATTATTTGTATGACCACAATATTATATGGAAAGATGACAGGATATTTCCTTCATTTCAGTACCTGGGTTTGCTATCAGTTAGAAAAATGGGTAGATTAAATATGAAAATGAAATGTTCATGTCAGTTGAGAACCAAATGGTGCCATGGTGTGCTGAAGTAAGAATTTGAGTAGATAAATGTGTGGAAGAATTGAGTTACAGCACATGACAATGTAACTCAATAACATTTAAAAAATATTAACTGATTATTAAAAAAATTCATTTGAGTATAGTTAAAATATATCACTTTAGATTCAGGTGTACAACATAGTGATTTGATAAGTTTATATATTATACTATGTTCATTACAAGTGTAGCTACCCCTTGTCACCATATGACATATTACAATATTATTGATTATATTCCTTATGCTTATGTGCCTTTTATTCCTGTGACTTATTTATTACATACCTGGAAGTTTTTATCTCCCACTCCCCTTCACCCATTTCTCCCATACCTCCAGATCCTCCCCTCTGGCAACCATCAGTTTGTTTTCCATGTTTCTAAGTTCGATTCTTCTTTTAAAACTTTTTTTAGATTCCACATATGAATGAAATCATAAGGTATTTGCCTTTCTCTGACTTATTTCATTTAGCATAATACCCTCTAGGTCTATCCATGTTGTCGCAAAGGGCATTGTTTCACCTCTTTTGTGGCTGTATAATATTTCAGTGTGTGTGTGTGTGTGTGTGTGTGTGTGTACACACACACATGCCACATGTTCTTTATCTGTTCTTCTATGGATGGACACTTAGGTGGCTTCCATGCTACTGCAAACTATGCTGCAATAAACATAGGGGTACATATATCTTTTCAAATTAGTGTTTTCATTTTCTTGGGTAGATACCCAGTAGTGGAATTATTGGATTGTGTGGTATTTCTATATTCAATTTTTGGAGGAATGTCCATACTGATTTTCATGGTGGCTTGTACCCATGTACATTCCTAACCAACAGTGCATGAGGGTTACTTTGCTTCTATATTTTCACCAACACTTGTATTTTTTTACTTTTTTATTTTAGCTATTCTGACAGATGTAAGTTGATATCTTAAACTTTAATTTTTTTTTAACGTTTATTTATTTTTGAGACAGAGCATGAATGGGGGAGGGGCAGAGAGAGAGGGAGACACAGAATCCGAAGCAGGCTCCGGACTCTGAGCCATCAGCCCAGAGCGCGACGCTGGGCTCGAACTCACGGACCGTGAGATCGTGACCTGAGCTGAAGTCGGATGCTTAACGGACTGAGTCACCCAGGCGCCCCAGTTGATATCTTATTGTGATTTTGATTTGCATTTCCCTCATGAGTGATATTGAGCATCTTTTCAGGTGTCTGCTGGCCATCTATATGTCTTCTTTGGAAAAATGTCTATTTTGGTCATCTCCCTACTTTTAATTGGATATTATTATTTTGGGGGGGATTGAGTTGGATAAGTTCTTTATATATTTTGGACATTACTCCTTAGTTATATAATTTGCAAATATCTTCTACCATTCAGTAGGTTGTCTTTTCATTTTGTTGATGGTTTCTTTTGCTATTAAAAAGCTTTTGATTTTGGTGTAGTTCCAATAGTTTATTTTTGCTTTTATTTCCATTGCTAAAGGTTACACACCTAGAAAAATGTCTCTGTGGCTACTGTCTAAGAGATTAGTGCCTATGTTTTCTTCTAGGAATTTTGTGGGTTTAGGTCTCTCATTTAGGTCTTTAATCTACTTTGAGTTTTTGTATATGGTAGAAGAAAGTGGTTCAGTTTCATTCCTTGTATGCACTTGTTCAATTTTCCCAGCACAACTTATTGAAGATACTGTCTTTTCCCCATTGTATATTCTTACCTCTATTGTCATGGATTAACTGACTATATAAATATGGCTTAATTTCTGGGGTCTCTGTTCTATTGACCTATATGTCTATTTTTGTACCAGTACCATACTGCTTTGAATACTACAACTTTGTAGTATATATTGAAATCTGGGATTGTAGTAACTCCAAGATTGTTCTTTCTCAAGGTAGCTGTGGCTATTCAGGGTCTTTTGGGTTCCAAACAAATTTTAAGGTTATTTGTTATAGTGTTGTGATGAATGCTTTTGTTATTTTGATAGGGATTGCACTGAATCTGTAGATGGCTCTGGGTAGTATGGACATTTGAACCATATTAATTCTTTCAATCCAAGAATATGGAATATCTTTCCATTTGTGTCATCTTCAGTTTCTTCATCAATTTCTTATAGAGTAAATGTATTTTACCTCTTGGTCAAATTTATTTCTAAGTATTCTTTTTAGTATAGTTGTAAATGGTATTGTTTTCTTAATTTCTCTGTCTGTTACTTCATTATTAATGTATAGAAATGCTACCAATTTCTGAATATTAATTTTTTATTCTGCAACTTTACTGAATTCATTGATTACTTTTAGTAGTTTTTTTTTTTTTTTTAGGATTTTCTACATATAGTATCATGTTATCTGCAAATAGTGTAAGCTTTATTTTTTTCCTTACCAATTTGGGTGTCTTGTATTTCTTTTTATTATCTGATTGCTGTGCCTATGACTTCTAGTACTCTGTTGAATAGGAGTGGTGAGACTTGACATCTTTGCATTGTTTCTTAGAGAAAATGCTGTGTTTTCCACGTTGGAGTGTGATCTTGGCTGTGGTTTTTTCATATAGGGCCTTTGTTATGTTGAGATACATTCCCTCTAATCCCACATTGTTGAGAGTTTATCATGAATAGATGTTGAATTTCTTCAAATGCTTTTTCTGTATCTATTAAGATGATAACCTGATTTTTACCCTTTGTTTTCTTGTTGTGTTGTAGTATCAACTGATTTGTGAACATTGTATCATGTATAGCTTCCTTTTCTGTGGTGTTGTATCTGGTTTTGGTATCAGGGTAATGCTGGCTTCATAGAATGAATTTGGAAGGTTTCCTTTCTTTTCTGTTTGGAGTAGTTTGAGAAGAATAGGTATTAACTCTTTTCTAAAAGTTGGATAGAATTTATCTGTGAAACAACCTGGTCCCAGACTTTTATTTTTTGATGTTTTATTGATTATCAATTAAATTTTGTTATTAATAATCGGTCTGATCCGATTTCCTATTTTTTCCCAATTCAGTTTTGAAAGATTGTATGTTTCTAGGAATTTATTTTCTAGGTTGTGCAGTTTGTTGGCATGTAATAATTTTTCATAGTGTTGTCATAATTTTTTGTATTTCTGTGGTGTCATTTATTCACTTTCATTTCTGATTTAATTATTTGGGTCATTTTGCTTTTTTTCTTGATGAATCTGCCTAAGGGTTGTCAATTTTATCTTTTCAAAGAAACAGTCCTTGGTTCACTTGATTTTTTTTTCTGTTTTTGTTTGTTTTTTGTTTTTGTTTTTTACTTGTTTTTGTTTTTGTTTGTTTTTAGTCTGTGTGTCATTTATATCTACTCTGATCTTTATTATTTCCTTCTTTCTACCCACCTGGGACTTTGTTATTTTTCTAGCTCCTTGAGGTGTAAGGGCAATTGTTTGAGCTTGTTTCTTTTGGTAGGCCTCTATTGCTATATATTTTTCTCTTAGAACTGTTTTTGATGCATCCCAAAGATTTTGGACCATTGAGTTTTCATTTTAATTCATCTCTTTGTATTTATTTAAAATTATTCTTTGATTGATTCATTGACCAATTGGTTGCTTGGTCTTGTGTTGTTTAGTCTCCATGTATTTGTGTTTTTTTCTAGGTATTTCCTTGTGATTGATTTCTAGTTTGATTTCTACTGTTGTGGTCAGAATAGAAGTATAGGATGATATAAATCTTCAAAAATTTATTGAAGCTTATTTTGTAGGCTAATGTGATCTATTCTGGAGAATGTTCCATGTGCACTTGAAACGCATATTTTGTTGATTTTGGATGGAATGTTGTATATATGTTATATTCTTCTGGTCCAATCCCTTTACTGTATTTTTTATTTGAGTTATTGTATTCTTCAACTCTGGTTCTTCCTATTATTTTTTATCATTTTATTGAAGGTCTCACTGTGTTGATTCATTCTGAAGGAGCAAAATGATAGAAACAAGGGCACTCTTCTTGGGGACCCACATATGCTACCAATTAACTAGTCCACAAACGCTAGTGTGGACAGCCTGGTGAGCATCTTTTCAATCATTACTTACATTCTTTATCAGGCATATTGCTTATCTGTATTTCTGTTCTTTTTCTGTGTGTGTGTGTGTGTGTGTGTGTGTGTGTGTGTGTGTGTGTGTTTTCTTATGCTTTCTTTGGA